CATAACACTAAGTCCTAGTGCTGCATTCACATTCGGACAAGAAAGAGAAATAGAAGGCATACCTGTGGGGCAAGAATAAATAAAGCTGTCCCTGTCTGTGGATAACACGATGATTTATGTACAAAATCCCAAGGAATGTACAGAAAAGCCCTGGGACCAATAAGTATACTCCCCAAGGTCACAGGACACAAGACTGAGACACAAACATCAGTCCCATTGCTGTACTAACGAAACGACGAGCATTTGGAGGATATTCTTTAAAACAGCTCCAAAGGAGATAAAATACTTTAGTACAAATGTAACAAAACACATGCAGGATCCATAGGCTGACGATTACAAAATGCTGATCAGAGATGACCTTCTCAAGGAAGACATACCATGTTCATGGACGGTGAGACTCACCACAACAGAGATGCCTAGTCTCTCCAAATTGACCTGTAGTTTTTATGCAATTGCTATTAAAATCCAAGCAAAGTGTTTTTTTTTGTTTTTTTTTTTAATAGACATAGACAAACTTATTCAAGAATTTATAAGGAAAGCCAGAGTCCCGGGAATAACTAAGAAATCTTGAATTGTTTTTTATCTATATTAAGGCCTACTATATGGTTACAGTGATCAACACAGTGTGATGCTGGCAGAGGAGAGATAGACAGATCAGTGGGTGGAACAGAGAACCCAGAAATAGACCCATACTGAATAAAAAAAAATTAAATTATTGATTTTTGAGAGAAGGGAGGGGGGAGGGAGAGGAAGGAAGGGGTGAAGAAACATTGATTTCTTTGTTCCATTCATTTATTCCTTCATTGGCTGATTCTTATATGTGCCCTGCCTGGGTACTGAACCAGCAACCATGACTTATCGGGACAATTCTCCCAACCAACTGAGCTGCCGGGCCAAGGCCGACCCCACTGACTTTTGACTAAGGTGCAAACACGCAAGTCAATGGAAGAAAGACAGTCTTTTCAACAGATGCTGCTGGAACAATTAATATACATAGACAAATAAATAAATAAATAAATAAATGTAAAAGGAAAGAAAAAAAAAACCTTCTTCACCTTATACAATTATTAATTCAAAAAATGGACCAGGGACTTAAGTGCAATATGTAGAACTATAAAACCTTTAGAAAAAAATAGGAAATCTTTGGGACCTGTGGCTAGACGAAGTGTTTCGAGACTTGACATCAAAGGGAAAAACTGATGAAACGGACCTCATTAAAGTGAAAACTTGGCTCCCAGAAAGTCGAGTGGATGAGAATAACCCTACACAGGCTGGAGGAAATACGTGCAAACCACATACGGTGTCTGTGCCGGGTAGCACCGAGCTCACGGAAAGGGGTTCAACACCGCTACCCACGGGGGACACGCGATCAGACACCCATACCCCTCCCCACGCCCGGCTAAAGAAGCGACAGGGCCAGTGCCGGCGCCAGTGCGGAGAAGCTCCTGCTGGGCTGCTGGGTGTACAATGGTGCGGCCGCCTCGCAAACAGGGTCCTCACAAAACTGATCCGGCAGCCGGGCCGGCACGGCTCAGGGGCTGAGCGCTGACCTAGGAGCCAGGAAGTCACAGTTAGGTTCCCAGTCAGGGTACACACCCAGGTTGTGGGCTTGATCCCCAGTGGACAGCGTGCTGGAGGCAGCCCATCCATGACTCTCTCATCATTAATGTTTCTCTCTCCCTCTCCCTTCCTCTTTAAAAATCAATAAAAAAAAAAAGTTTTTCTTTTAAAAATCAATGGAAAAATATCCACAGGTGAGGACTAACAAACATAAATAAATAAAAAGAAAGTCACTAAAAACTAAAAAACAAAACCGAACATGTAGCTACCGTACGACTGACCGCTTTTATCCCGGGCGCAGGAAAATGGATGTGCACCCTGAAGCAGGCACAGAAGTGGGAGGTGACCCAGGTGTTCCCGACAGGAAATGGTGCACCGTGCTGAATCCAGGCCATGCTGCTGCTCAGCAATCAATATTGATACATGAGACAACTTGAGTGAATCCCCAGGGCAGTGGTCGGCAAGCTCATTGGCCAACAGAGCCAAATATCAACAGGGCAACGATGGACATTTCTTTTGAGAGCCATAATTTTTAAACTTAACTTCTTCTAAATAGACTCGCCCAGGCTGTGGTATTCTGTGGAAGAGCCACACTCACGGGGCCAAAGAGCCACATGTGGCTCGCCAGCCACAGCTTGCCAGCCACTGCCCGCCAGCCACTGCCCCAGGGAGTGAAGCTGAGTGATAAAAGCCAATTCCAAAGGATCCCATTTTGCATGATGTCACGTGGATAGTATTCTTCAAGCAACAGAGCACACAGTCGGAGAGCAGGAGGTCAGTGCCAGGGCAGGGAGTGGCTGTAACAGGCCACGAGGCGTCCTGTAGGTGAGGGAATGTTCTGTGCCTCTCCCCGCGTCACTGTCCCGGCTGCACACTGCACTGCGTTTCGCAAGACGCTGCCACTGAGGCGGACGAGGCGGAGGGGACACGGGGTCTCTGTGTTATTCCTCACAACTGCACAGGACGCTGTGATTATCTCAAAATTAAAAGTTAAAAAAAAACAAAACAAAAAAACAAGACAGGTTCCCAGCTATACCAGCTACTAATTAGGAAACTGACCTTGAAACTTTCCCCCTATCTCCAAGTCCTCCAAAGCCATCCGAAGTGCTACGGGCGGTCCATGCCCTGAGTGAGGGCCTGGCAGTGAGCATGGCGCGCAGTCAGTGCTTTAAAGACAAACAACCTGTGGCTGGAGACCTTTCGGAGGCACAGACACTATTCCGAACAGCGTCACTCAACTGCTCTCCCATGACGCCACCCCAAGTCTCTTCCCAAAGGGACCTGTCCCCACAGGGCGGGGGAGGGTCACTTGGTTTCTGGACGCCAGCCGACTTTCTAACGAGTAACTGAGACAGGCACAGGCAGCAAAGGGAGCTTCATACCATCCGGGAAGACGTGGGAGGGAAAGGTGCTGGTTCCCCAGCCCGTTTCTGTTGCTCAGACAGTGAAGCTAATGTTTCTACGCACCGGGAAAAGCTTCACGGAGTTTTCTAAACACATTTCAACACCCATCCAGACGGCAGCGTCTGTTTGCAAAATATCTCCTCTGCCTCTGAGTTGACAGAGACGAGGGGACAGTGGCCTGGTTTGGAGGCCGGAAGGGCAGAAAGGAAGCCTGGCGGGGCCCAGCGAGGCAGCCAAGTGCGCTGCTCCCCGGAGGGAGGACGGAGGGCAAGGAGGGCGAGGGGAACTTCAAACGCAGGGTCCCGGAATCGCCCAGGCACCGGCCTGCGGAGCCGGGGAGCCGGGTGGGCCGGCTGACTCACACAGGCTTCGGAAGGAGGTGAAGAGGAAGGGAGGTTTTATCCCTTCCCCTCCCGGTCCTAAAAGGGCTGTTCCTACGACAGGGGAACATGCCAGCAGCAGGCACGCACCATGGGGATGCGGGTGTGAGGTTCCGGATGAGGGTCTGGGCATGTGCAGGCCGGGGTCCCAGGATCCCGGCCCCCGGGCCCCGGCCAGGAGGCACTAGCCCAGAAGCCAGGCCAGAAGCTTTGGGAGGGAAGAGGGGGGGGGGGAGGGAAAATGTGCCGGGAGGGGGCTCTCCCTTTGCTCACGTTTACGCCCCGGGGCACCTCAGAACCCAGCCCCAGGCAGCCCTCTCCCTGTAATTTGGTTCCCACCCGCCAGGCCGGGGAGGGTGGTGAGGGAGGGCAGGGCTGGATAAAAGAGGGAAATGCCCGTCCCCCGGGGATGCTGAGCGGTTCCTCAGGTCCCGGGCTTCAGGGCCCTCAGCCCTGGCTCGGAGACACCAGACCGGCTGTGTGTGTGTGTGTGTGTGTGTGTGTGTTCCCCTCAGGTAAGTGTAAGGAATAAAATCGGGGCGTGAGGCGGAAGAGCCTGGAGACCCCACAGCACCTGGGCCTGCATTAAAAACGGACACGCAGGGATGCAGCTGTGTCCCCCCAAACAAACAAACAATCACCGCAGCAGAGCGAGGGGCACGGGCGGGACCTGCCGGGGCGGGCGCACCCTCGGGTGGACGCCCTGTGGCTGTTTTGGGAAGACATGGCCGTCTAACCTAGTGACACTCCCCCGGCGCAGGGCCCCGTGAGACGGGCTGGCCCGGCGATGGATCTGGTGAAGTGGGGCGTCCAGGCGCCCTACATGGTTGGCATTTTCCTGACCAACAGCTCAGACTGAGGCTGCGGCTTGACGGCGCTCGGCACACCCGGGAGGGCAGAGGAAGGCTGGCTCCTGGCTGGACCTGGCACCCCGACACCGCGGAGGGGCGCCCCCCAGGGCAGACGGGGGGTGGGGTGGGGGAGCTCCCCGAATCGGGGGGCACGAGGCCGCAGGAGAGGGCTGTGCCCAGGCCAGGGGGCAGCCCAGGGGTCGGCAGGGGCGGGCGGTGGTCCCAGCCGGGCGCCACGGTCCGCGGGGCCGCACCTGGACACACCGGGGCACACGGGGACACACCGGGCACACCGGGGGTGCACCTGGACACACCTGGGCGCACCGGGGCACTCATGAGCACACTGGGGCGCACCGGGGCGCACCTGGGCGCACCGGGACACACCGGGCACACCAGGACACGCCGGGGCGCTCCTGGGCACACCGGGACACACCGGGGGGGCACCTGGACACACCTGGGCGCACCGGGGCGCTCATGAGCACACCGGGGCGCACCTGGGCAAACCTGGGCACACCGGGCGCACCTGGGCGCACAGGGACACACCGGGGCGCACCTGGGCAACCCTGGGCGCACCGGGCGCACCTGGGCACACAGGGACACACCTGGGACACACCTGGGCACACCGGGGCGCACAGGGACACACCGGGGCGCACCTGGGACACACCGGGGCACACAGGGACACATCTGGGCACACCGGGCGCACCTGGGCACACCTGGGCGCACCGGGGCACACAGGGGACACACCGGGGCGCAGGTGGGCGCAGGTGGGCGCAGTGTGCGGCGGCGGCGGGCGGGGCGCACGCACCTTGAGGATGTTGTCGAAGATGGTGTCGCGGAACTCGAGCAGCGCCTTCTGGTCGAACTCGCGGCCGTGGATGATGCGCATCTGCTTGAGGAAGGTGGACTTGCCGCTCTCGCCCGCGCCCAGCAGCAGGATCTTGACGAGCCGCCGCACGGCGCGCCGCTCGCGGGCCAGCCCCGCGTCGATGTCCCGGCTGCGCCGCCGCGCCTCGCGCTCCGCGTCGCGGGCCCCGCCGCCGCCCGCCCTGCGCTCGCGGCCCCCGCCGGCCTCGGCCGGCAGCAGGCAGCGGCTGAGGGTCCGCACCACGCCGGACATGGCCGCTCAGGCCATGGACGCGCTGCGGGCGAGGCGAGGCGAGCCCCGCGCGGCAGCCGGCCGCTCCCTCAGGACCGTCCGCCGCCGCCGCCCGCAGGCCCGCTCTCGCCGCCGCTCGGCCCGGCGGAGGGGGCGGGGCGACGCGGCCCGGGGCCCGGGGATTGGGCCGGCTGCCGCCCCTACGGACGAACGCGCCCTCAGATTGGCCCGTGCCACGCCGAAAGGCGGGCATCCCTCCGGCTTCGGGGGGCGTGGTCGGGGCCGAAAGAGGCGGGATCTTTGGGGTGGCGGCGCTTCTCATTGGGCGTCCGGGCTGAGGTTCTTTCTTTCAGAATGAAAGGGAGGCGGGGTCACCGAGGAGGCGGAGTGGCCGTCCGCCATGACCAATAGTAATTGCTCCGGGATCACGTCAATCACGGCGAACGTGCCTGGGATTGGGGGTTTTGCGAAATGGGGCGGGACCAGAAGTGCCAGGTGTACAGAACGTCGCCCTGGACTCCCAGATGGGACCGACCTGGGCGACCTGGAGCCCCGCAGTCTGCGCCCCGGGCTGCCCGGAGGCTGGGGAGTGCCGGCGGATGAGGGGTTCACCTGCTGCTGGACCTGCGTCTGGAGAGACGGCTGTTCCTAATCCACGAGCCTGCCAGGGACGGCGGAGGGGCTGGGCCACATATTTCAGACAAATGCGCCCTCAGAGCGGCCTGGCTCCCGCGCCTTTGCTCAGAGCTGACCATCAGTCACCGAGCTTCTGTGTTTTTTTTTTTTTCCTCAAAGTTAATGTTCTTTAATATATATATAAAATTGATTTTTTACAGAGAGGAAGGGAGAAGGGTAGAGAGCTAGAAACATCGATGAGAGAGAAACATCGACCAACTGCCTCTTGTACACCCCCCACTGGAGATGTGGCCACAACTAAGGTACATGCCCTTGATGGGAATCGAACCTGGGACCTTTCAGTCAGCAGACACCGACCCTCTATCCACTGAGCCAAACTGGTTTTGGCTTTATTGATTTTTTAGAGAGAGAGGAAGGGCAAGGGAGCGACAGAAACATCAATGATGAGAGAAACACCCCCTACCTGCACACCCCCTACCTGAGAACAGGTCTGCAACCCCCACATGTACCCTGACGGGGAATTGAACCATGACCCCTCTTGGTTCATGGGTTAACACTCAACCAACCGAGCTACACCAGGAAGATAGCAACTCCCTCACATGGCCTGAAGCTATAAGCTGCGAAGGTGAACTTGTACAACCCGTAGCGCAGTGCCCGGATCCAGGCTCGATTCTGCGAAACGTTGGCTCATCTGATGACCGAGTCTTAGTGTGAGTCAAGCTCCCGAGAAACCCAGTCTCCTCACCTCCAGGTGACCGGCTAGACAGGGGAAACTGGGTCTGCTGAAAGGTAAACTGCGGCTTATTGAGAATTTTAAGAGTTTGAGCACAAACTGACTCCTGTCCAGCAGTGCCAAACAGCACAGGGACTCTGCCCAGGAGGGTGCAGGACAAGACTTCCAGGAGGAGGCGGGGCGGAGAAAGGCGGTTGTCGGACTGGCAGTAGCTTGGAAACGAGTGGGCTGTTCGTGACAGACTGTCCGTGTTGTGATCTTGTAAGCTGGCGGCATACGCAGGCGGAGAGTCGTGTTTCCTTACCAAGGCCGCCTCAGCCTCGGGGCCACCGTGTGGGATTGATGGAACGGCCTGAAAGATCGTCCTGTCCACCCCCGTCGCCGTGAACAGCTGTGAGGTAAAGACCAGCCACAGAGGACTTGGCTGAGGTGCCACAAGGGCCGTGCAGACCTGCCCTCTCCGCCCTGCGCACCTGCACAGGTGGGTGGGAGCTCACTCAGCTCTACAGGTGGTTTTTGCAGAGTTATGACAATGCCAGGCGCTGAGGGCTTCGGGAGAGCAATCTGAAGACAAATAAAATGCAACCTTTGAATCAAGGAACGTACATTTCAGCCCTAGCCAGTGTGGCTCCGTGGAGAGAGCATTGGCCTGTGCTAAGCTCACATAGTACTTCCTCAGAAGGGTCTCCACGGAAGGGTCTCCATGGAGAGAGCATTGGCCTGCGGACGGAAGGGTCCCGGTTCGATTCCGGTCAAGGGCATGGACCTCGGTTGCTGGCTCCTCCCTGCCCGGGCCTCGGTCAGGGCTCCTGCAGGAGGCAGCCAGTCAATGTGTCTTCCTCACATGGGTATTTCTCCCTGTCTTTCCCCCTCTCGTCCACTCTCCTGAAAAATCATTGGGAAAATGTCCTCGGGAGACGATTGAGAAGCAGAAACAGGCAGAAAGGAAGACACGTGCACCTCACGTGGGGCACCAGGCCGCACAGGTCACCGGCGTGTGCAGGTCAGCGCGTCCGCTTTCCTGCCCGAGAACCGGGAATTAGTGCCAACGCTCTGGGCGGTCCTTCGTCATCCTTCGCAGCGATGGGAAAGTTTGGCTTCTTTGTGAGAACGGCCTTCCACCGGAAAGTTAGATGCTAGTTGTCTGAGAACAGGAGGGAGCAGAGGCCCCGAAGGCCACGTTTCGAGGACAGAAAAGGGAATGTGGACCCACCGCGGAGGGGCCCGGGGACTCAGCAGTGGACCCGCGTCAGCCCCCACGCCGCGAAAGACGTGAAGGGGATTCAGAGAACACGCTGAGCGGGGAGGTGAGGAAGAACCGAGGACCACATCTGAGAATGAAAGCTACGATGATTGAAGGAGAAACGTGACAGATATGTTACGGCGCAGACTCAGACGCAGATGAAGAGAATGCCCTGAAATACAGATCCGAAAAAATTACCCAGGATCCAGTACAGAGATAGAGAGGCTACGAGACAGGAACGCCAGAGGAAGAATCTCTAACATGTACACCGAGTGGCCAGATGATGATGATCTCTGAACTCATAATAATCTGGCCACTAGGTGTATGTGTGTGTTTGTGTATTTTTTTAATTTAAAAAATTCTTTATTGATTATGGTATCACATAATTGTCCTCATGAGAATAAATATATGTTTTTAAAAAAATATATATATTTTATTGATTTTTTTTATAGAGAGGAAGAGTTGGGATAGAGAGTTAGAAACATTGATGAGCCAAAACCGGTTTAGCTCAGTGGATAGAGCGTCGGCCTGCTACTGAAAGGTCCCAGATTTGATTTCCGTCAAGGGCATGTACCTTGGTTGCAGGCACAACCCCAAGTAGGGGGTGTGCAGGAGGCAGCTGATCGATGATTCTCTCTCACCAATGTTTATAACTCTCTATGCCTCTCTCTTTTTCTCTGTAAAAAGTCAATAAAATATTAAAAAAAGACAAAAAAGAAAAAAGAAACATTGATGAGAGAAACATCTACTAACTGCCTCTTCTACACCCCCTACTGGAGACGTGCCCACAACTAAGGTACATGCCCCTGACAGGAATCGAACCCAGGACCCTTCAATCTGCAGACTGACGCTCTATCCAGACCCGTTTTGGTGAGAATAAATATTTTTATTGATATTTTACAGAGAGTAAGGGAGAGAGAGAGAGAGAGAGAGAGAGATCTAGAAACGTCGATGAGAGAGAAACATCGACTAGCTGCCTCTTGCACACCCCCTACTGGGGATGTGCCCGCAGCCATCGTACATGCCCCTGACCGGAATCGAACCCGGGACCTTTCAGTCCGCAGACAGACGCTCTACCACTGAGCCAAACCGGCTTCGGCGAGAATAAATATTTTTGATTAATGTTCAACTTTGTCGAGTAACATAGTCATGTTAACATTTTTAGGGCGAACGTGAAAAGAAGAAACAGAGTGAATGAATTCCACGTGAGCAAAGGGGGCACGAGGAAGGAGAATAAAAACCAGTCCATACGCAGAATGCAAGACCACAGAGAAAACAGGGCAACCAGGCACAACGAGAGATGGGAACGACCCCCACGCTGTGACTCACCAAAGAAAACGCAAACAGGCCGCAATGGTGGCAGATAAAGACTGTCAGGCTAGAGACAACAAAAGCGGGCTCAGCTCCTTGCTTGGAAAGAACATCCGTACCGACCCAGAAAAGACCAGAGAAAAAGAGAGAGTGGGGAGGGATCTACCAGGCGCCCGATGTGAAAGGGAGACGAGACAGAGGTGACGTCTGAAGCCAGATGAGCGAGAACCCTTTCGTGCGGGGAAAGGCTCACTCGCTGGTAAGATGCACCGCATCCAGGCACTCACGAAGCTAACTGCACGGCCTCCAATGCCGACGGCGAAGAAGTGGGCGGACCTCGAGGAGACACCGAAGAATCAGCCCTCACGGCGGGCGGGGCGAGGGTGCGGGCGGCAAACACTTCTCGCGCAACAGTGAACACGCATGGCCTGTGGAAGATATGTTGAGCAGCGAGCCCAACAATGAGAGGGTACACGTTCTGCTGAAATCCAAGGGACATTAAAAAAAAAACTGACCACAGGAGCCCTGGCTGGTGTAGCTCAATGGTTAGAGCACCAGCCTGCGCACCGAAGGGCCACAGGTTCGATTCCTGGTCCAGGGCACGTACCTGGGTTTCAGGCTCACTCCCCAGGCGTGGGAGGTGACCGATGGGTGTGTTTCTCTCACATCGGTGTTTTTATTTCTCTCTCTCCCCCTCCTCACACCCTCCTGTCCACTCTCTCTCTGAAAAGCATCGGAGAAATAACCTCGGGTGAGGAGTAACAACAAACAACAACAACCAGTGACCATAGAATGGGCCACAAAGCAAGCGTCACTGCACGTTCAAGAACTGATGGCATACCGACCGCACTCTCTGACTGTGTGGGAATTACCTTTGCTGTCAGGAGCGTAAATATTTCTCCTGCAAAGCCCAAAGTTATGGAAATGAAGAATCCACCTCCTAAGTAAACAGCCAGCTGGTTAGATGAGAAGATCCTGGCGGTGTGTCCCTGCCCCGTGATCTGATTATCCTTCCCGCACTGCCGCCCTCCAGCAACGGGTCCGACGGTGCAGCAGGCCTCTGGGCCTGCGGCCTGCGCCGAGTCCCGGCCTGTCCTC